ACCAACTTGTTTTTTTGTTTTTTTACCACATACCAAAATAGTTTTTTAGGATGATGCTAATTTAAATTTTACACTGTTGCCATTAGTAATAAAACTAAGAAAATGAAGTATAAGGAAATTATCATCCAGAATTCCAGAAAAATGTTCCTTTAATAGGATAGTGCAGGAAAGCATCCGTCTTTAAAACTTTTTCCTGCAATACTTTAACTTTTATACTGTAAGTAGTTTTAAAAATTGTACTTTTACACTTTTTCTTCAGTAAAAAGCTTAAGTTTATACTCTTCTAAGTTTAAACTTCTACAAAAGTGTTTTTAAACAGTCAGAAAATATTCTTCTACTTGAGTAATAAATATTATTACGTTTGACACCTCTGACTGTATTGACGTTCGCAAACCTTTACCCAACTCAGTGATGTAGAAGAGTTTAAGGCTCCCAATAAAGCGACTATAACAGCTCAGCTGTGGATTGCTACAATAATGTGCTGCACTGATGCATCCAAAGTGCCCTAACAAAGTCATGTGTGCACATACTGTTCAGTTCAGGAACATACTTTACAGTTAGCCTTTACTTAATCACATTTAGTGGATTTAATTGACTTCTTTAAGATATTGTAATTACGACTTTTATAAAATAGATGCGATCTTTTCGCATGTCAGATTGTAGAACAACTAGAAGAATATCCCTGATTTGTGGAAAAGTAGACAAGAAAGAATGAGATAGCGTGACTTTGATTTGAAAAGTTGAATTTTGACAGGAATTAGCAAAGTGGGAGAAACAAACGGTCATCAACAGGACAATGATCCCAAACACAGAAGCTGAAACGGAAAAAAAGGTGCTGCAGTGGCCCAGTCAAAGTCCAGACCTCTGTCTAGTTAAAATGCTTTTCAACAAATCAATTGATGGAAAACTATTTTGTATAAATAAAGTGACCCTTAGCACAAACACACACTTGACGATCAAATGGAGGTCATCATTGTTTGTCACTTGCTGTGACCGCAATAGTCTTCATATTACGTCAAATTCCCTTTGATCCTGCCGGCTTTTTACAATTTTAGGCTTAAATGTACACACATTTCAGATTGTGTATCTTTTTGTTTGGATTTCAGAGACCTTGCTATTCTTTTTCTTTATCTGGTACCTCATTATTTACCATTGCATTAGAGCACTGTGAAATTCTTACTAGTTTAGACATCAAAGGGAAGAGAAAGCTCATTCAATCTCCCCAGCTTGGATCTCTCCAGGACCGCCTGTCAGCTTACAGACTTTTTTTTTTTTTAAACTTTGAATGTTATAATTATTTTTATAAAAAGTTATACGTTATTGAGAACATTTAGATCTAGTAGTAATGGACTCATAATCTATCCAGGGTATATCAATAGAGAATAACTGGATTATCTGCGAAAAAACCAGGAGGAATAAAAGACCTAAACATCATAAATATTCCACTGATTTACATGGTGTGAAAACCATTAAATGTTTTGATGCTATTTAACAGTCAGTGAATATGACAATTGGTACTGTTTAAAATTCAACTGTTATCTATAGAAGAATAAAAGTTTGTATTTAGCCATCAAAAGAGAATAGACTCCATCTGCGTCATCTGAATCGAAACTCGAATGCCTCTTAGGAGACCGAACAGCTTGGTTGTGTTTCACTGACTATTTGTGTGACTCAGTTGGGCAGCATTATGGCTGTGGGGGAGGGCGGGACAGGACCCTTAGTGTGACTCTATAAATGAAAGGAAGCTCAAACAAAGACAAAATATTGACTGATGGCCCTGCTGACTAACTTGGATGCTGCCTTTCAGTGATTTTATTATCTTAAAGGTTATCTCCCCCATCTATGAGTCATATTGTGACAGCTATACACAGGCAGGGTCTTGGAAAATATATTACTATTTGTGCAGATTGGGAAAAAATGAAAAAGTTGAAATCTAGCATGTCTTTGTTTAGAAATTAATAATTATCCGACACTTTACTAATTTGTTAAATTCAGTTCTGTATATGTCTTCACCTAGGATTGAGTAGATCACTTCTCATCAGAATGTCCTGTTTCCCATCATGATATACACTGCTGTATATCCACCACTCACCCAAGGTTGTCAAAAGGACATTTGAAGCAATGATCATCAGTTCAGAGCTCTGAAACTCTAAACCAGGGTTGTCAAACTGGTTCCAGAAAGGGCCGGGTGGCTGCAGGTTTTCTTTCCAAAACATCACTAGCACACCAGACTCCAGTCATCTCATCAAGGGAGTCCAATCTGAACATGATTTGATTATATGAATGGAGTCTGGTGTGCTATTGTTTGGTTTGAAAGAAAACCTGCAGCCACACAACCCTTTCTGGAACTAGTTTGACACCTGTGCTCTAAACTGTGCATCAACCATCCAACTGATAGGTCCTCTAGGCCAGGGGGGCTCAAGTCCAGTCCTCAAGACATGTCTTCTTTAACACACCTGAATAGAAAGGCTCAATCCCCTCATTTAGCCCAGCACACTGGGATCTAGAAATCAGTAAAAATGTCTTAAATTAAGTGTATTTACGCTTAAGTTAAGTAGGTAAATGAGATAGTTTGTCAATGGAATTAGTATTTTTACTCTTAATATAAGATAATTAGATAACATGTACTTGAAATAAGACAATGCAATTGTGTTTTCTTATTTTAAGTGTAAATTGTCTTGTTCCATTGGCAAAATGTCTCTTTTACCTCTTCAATTCAAGAACAAATGCACTTATTTAAAAAAAAAATGACTAATCTAGATTTCTATTTTTTTCCAGTGCAGAGGGGTGGTAACGAGCCACTCATTTGATTCAGGTGTGTTAAAAATGAGGTGTGTCAAAAAGTTGCAGGATAGTAGCTCTTGAGGACTGGGCTTGAGCACCCCTGCTCTAGGCCTATCAGTTGGTCGGTCCTCTAGGCCTATCTCCTAACAGAGATGGGGGATCTGGTGCCAACAAGTCATATCTATGCCATATGTTTTTTTTTTCCCACCCACTGAATCAGGAGAGTCCAAACTGCCCAGGTTAATTCCCTCTGAAGATTGGACTCACCTGCTTCAGTGGTTGGGCAGACACAAACACATGACATAGATGTCATGGAGACCCTCCATCTCAAACCCTAGAACAGGAGTCTAAAACCTTAAAAATCCGAAAAGCCATTTTTCCCCATGTCCGGACAAGTCAGTCATTTGTAGCTGTAGCTGTGAAATGACCTTTTAATAAATCACAGTTTATAATTAGGAATGAATGATATTTTAATGATATCGAATGATATTAGCTTCAAAACTAAATGTCGGACGGACATTGAAAGTTCCACAATATAATTCATCAGTAAATAAGCCATTAATTTTGAGATAAAATTGTGAAAATGTTGTGATTTCAGTGGTGCACACAAACCCAACTAGTGCTTAAGCTGTCACAAAGAAAATTCCAAAGTAAGAATGTTGTCAATGTTGATGTTTTTAAACAGATAGCCGGACGGCTGAAAGGACAGTAGGGAGAAGACACAGTTTCTGTAAGTAGGTCTAAGAGAAATAAAAAATACCAGTATCAGTTATCTGCTGGTTGAGTTGTAAAATAAATGAAAAATACCAGCTGAAGATTCAATATTGTGCATCTCTACTCATTAATTTTGTAAAAAAAAATATGTAAACTTATATATGTAAAAATAATTTTGTAAAAAATATATCTTCCATAGGAAAACTGATGTCATTTTGAAACACTAACAGTGTATTTGTGTTTTTTTTACTTCAAAAATAAGGAAAATGCTTTAAAAAAAAAAAAAAAATTCATGTTTGTCATCTAAAAGCAGATTTGTGGTTGATTCAAATTCAATGAATATATTATTTTAAAAACCAGTAATGCTTCTGAAACTGTAAAATGGTATTATACTGTATTTTTTTAATGGCCTCCATAAGGCCATTGTAGAGGATCTTAGGCTGCAGGTTGCAGACCCCTGCTTGGACTACCAGTTTCAGTTGGATGGACTGGTGATAGCTGAACAATTTCTCGAAACCAAGGATTAAACAAATATTGGTGGACCTAAGGGGGGTGGATAAGGGAGAAACGAGGGCAGCAGACCTGGCAAAATGACCGCAACATCAAGATGGACCAAACAAGGCTTAAAAAACGAAATCACAGAATCAATTAGGAATCAATGTGAAATTGGGTTTGAGGCTGCAGAGGGTTATAGGAATAACCTCTGAGGTCTCTATTTGGATTTTCGCTTTCTCAAGGAAGGATACGCTCTGAACCCTCAAGTCCCCAGGCCTTTGGTAGAAGGCCAAAACAATAAGTCATACCAGCAGATAGGTTTGGGAACGTGACAAAATGTTTCTTTACCATTCGTCTCTTTTTTTGTCACTATATTATTCTTAGGGCTGCTCAGTGGGGCAGTGGGTAGCACTGCTAACTTGCAGCAAGAAGGTTCCGGGTTCGATTGCCGGCCCGGGGTCTTTTTGCAGGGAGTTTGCAAGTTCTCCCTGTGCCTGCTTGTGCTCTCTCCGGGTACTCCGGCTTCTTCCCACTGTCCAAAAACATGACTGTTAGGTTTATTGGTTTCTCTAAATTCTCCTTAGGTGTGAGTGAATGGTTGTTTGTCCTGTTTGTCGCTGTGTTGCCAGTTCAGGGTGTACCCCGCCTCTCATCCATTGACAGCATGGATAAGCGTGATGGAAAATGGATGGATATTATCCTTATTTATTCCATGTTATTGTTATTCCAATAGAGAACAATCAAAGCCAGTTTATGTAATAATGCAACGCCTTTTGTCAAAAAGTTTTAATTTGAAGGGGAAACTAGTGGATTGCACCAAGTCATTCAGCAATACCTCTTGACAGTAAAAGTCCCAACTTACAGGGTTTATAGGAGCAATAGCTTCGTTGTTGGCCTAACATGAGAGAGAAATAACTGTCAGCTGTCGCTTGACAGAAATACAAGGAGATTAACAAAGTCCTTCATTTTCTCTAAAGCTTGTTTGTTTGTCTTTTGCTTTCTTGCAGACTATTTTGGTTGGAGACAGTGGAGTAGGGAAGACATCTCTTCTAGTTCAGTTTGACCAGGGCAAGTTCATCCCGGGCTCCTTTTCTGCCACAGTTGGAATCGGATTTACGGTACTTTTGGGATGTAGTGCATACGCATGCAGACAGCAGAATCCACCGGCTTAAAAAAGATTTCTTCCTTTAAATTTATAAAAATCCATCAAACATATAAATTCAAAACCAAAAACAACAGAAGAAATTGAGTTGTTTGCAATTTTGTGATGTTTTGATTTGCAAGGAGCAATGGCTTTACATTCAGCGGCTGAGGAGCTTGACAGTCAGTTGAAATGGAGTGAGGGTCTGCAACAATGAGCATGGCCTGTAGAAATATGCTGAAAAAGCCCTATATATACAGTGAGGAAAATAAGTATTTGAACACCATGCCATTTTGCAAGTATTCCCACTTAGAAATCACGGAGTGTTCTGAAGTTGTCATCTTAGGTGCATGTCCACTGTGAGAAGCATAATTTAGAAAAGTGGATTACCAACAGTAACCTTGGAAACAGTGGTCCCGGATTTATTAAGGTAATTGACCAGCTCCTCCTGTGTAGTTCTGGGGTGATTTTTCACCTTTCTTTGGATTATTGAGACCCATGGAGCCCCAGTCCAAGGAAGATTAACAGTCATATTTAGCTTAATAGCCCATTTCCTAATGATTGCTTCAACAGGGGTCCTTTTTTCAACGAGCTGCTTGGTAATTTCCCCCTTAGCCCTTTCCAGCCTTAGGGAGGTGCACAATTTTGTCTCTAGTGTCTTTGGACGACTCTTTGGTCTTGGTCATGTTAGCAGTTGGATTCTTACTGATTGTATGGAGTGAACAGGTGTCTTTATGTGGCTAACGACCTCAAACAGGTGCATCTAATTTAGGATAATAAATGGAGTGGAGGTAGACATTTTGAAGGCAGACTAACAGGTGTTTGAGGGTCAGAATTCTAGCTGATAGACAGGTGTTCAAACACTTATTTGCAGCTGTATCATACAGATAAATAGTTATAAAATCATAGATTGTGATTTCCTGATTTTCTTTTTAGATTATGTCTCTTACAGTTGACATGTACCAAAATGGCACCATATATATATATATATATATATATATATATATATATATATATATATATATATAATTTTAATAACCCTGTCCTTTTGCAATAATTGTCTCCTTTGTATTTTCCACAGAATAAAGAAGTAACTGTTGATAATGTGAAAGTCAAACTACAGGTAAGTGTGCACATGTGTTTTCAATGAGAGGCTGATTTACTTCACGAGATTCTTTTTAGTCTCCTTTGCTTTGCAAGTGAAGATAACAGCTGATAGAAGCAGATCATGGTGATTTCTGTTACAGATTTGGGACACAGCAGGACAGGAACGGTTCAGGAGTGTGACTCATGCATATTACCGAGATGCGCATGGTGAGAACCAATGAATCAGAACATAAATTACAAAGTTCCGCTTGTGCTCTGCATCCAGGATGTGATGCATTCGGTATATATGTAATTTGTCTGTTTCTTTTCTTTTTTTTTCTTTTTTCAAAGCCTTGCTGCTTTTGTATGACATCACCAACAAATCGTCGTTTGACAATATTAGGGTAAGTTTCACCGTTGTCTTCTCCCACTGTTACCTATACAGCTTAGGTCACTGTTAAACCTAAATCAACCTCTGTTTTTTTCCCTCATTGGTTTTAAAAAGAAAACTGATGACAGGAAAGTTAAACTAAAATAAATTAGTGAGGTCATCATTGCATGAGTTAAAGTGGGTTGTATAAATCCTGAGCGGTTCCTACCTGCAGCATCTGCAGGTCAAAACTCAGCAGGGGGCTGCAAGATGTAACAAAACCACAATCTCACATGTGTTTTCTTCTCCAGGCATGGTTAACAGAAATCCATGAGTACGCACAGACTGATGTAGTCATCATGTTGCTCGGCAACAAGGTGAGGAGATGTTTTCAGACCTCAGTATTTAATGTAAAATAGGCTTGGAAGAAAAATATGGTTTACTGTCTTTAGTGAACTACACTGGATATTAAGTCTGAGTTGACAGATGCTGAGTGAGCTTCCAGAAGTAGACATGGTTTTCATATGTTTTACTGAACTAGGAACGTTGTAGGAGACAAATTCCGCTTGGTTCTCTGCTTACAGAAGTTTAGAAACTAAAATCAATATTTAGTATCATCTCAAAAATGTTGTGCCAGTTCATGCAATAGATGGATGTTTGGACTAACAATGACCTATTAAAAGCGAATCTAAGAATTTGTGCTTCACTTAAAGACATACAGTATAAATTGTTTGCAAATAATATTCATATTGAGTGACGATTTTATACAAAAATGTAATTTCGTATACACAAAGTGTATACAAAATGACAATAAATGCTGTGTAAGTCTAAGAAAAAGTTATTAAACATTCTATGGAGATAAATTGGAAACATGAAGTTTGTTCAAAAAAAAAAAAAAAAGTTATACCCAAAAAAATGTAAATTTCAAAGACGTGTCAGATTCTTTTTTTTTTTTAACTTGGAGATTTTTATCTCGAGCTTGATAATTCATTTTTTGTTTTGTTTTTGTTTGTTTGTTTTTGTTTGTTTTTGTCCCTGTGTTAGCCTGGGGGACAATGCCTTAGAATCATGACTAAATTCTTAAATTAGTGGCAAGAACAGACTTTGATTTTCAGTTTTGATTTTCTTTTTTGAACTAACTGTTCCAGGTATATATTCTTTTCTTTTGAACAAACCTTTTTTTTTTCAGATATATATTTTTTCCTATTGATCAAAGTTTTTTTTTCAGATTTCCTTTTTTTGTGTATGAACAAACTTTATGGCCCAAATTTAGCTCCATACAATAACAGTTATTAAGAAATTGTCTATGCACTTAAGGCACTATGGCATTCCAAAAATACACATCAGATAGATTGACCTTTATAGTTTGAAAAATATAAACCAAATCAGAAGTTGAGAAAAAATATATCACACGTTATAAATATTTTTTACATAATGTTCCTAAGATGACTAACTTATCATTTAGTTAAGATCTCTAAAATGGTTTTAGTATCTGAAAAGAGTGAGTTTCAGTTTCTAATGATCTTGAGAAGATTGTGATATAAAGGATTGGGGGTTCTGCTGTTGCACCAGCTGAATTGTTGCCCATCAACTGCTGCAGAAGTTGCAGTCATATAGATCTGTGACTTTGTTTTTAAATCTTCATTGGTGCATTTTTTTTAGCTGTAGCTAGCATGCACTAGCATCACTGATCTCAGCTACAAGTGAACCAGTTATTCTATTATGATTAAATCATTTTTAAATTGATTTTTTTGGCACATTATTTCATAACTTTTTGTTGTTGTTGTTTGTTTTTATCAGCTCAGTTATGTTAAAATAATATTGTGTTTATCAGTTTAATGGCTTCTAAGTGCCAAAAAAAAAAAAAAAATCCTAGTATCTGTGTTTGAAGCAATTAGCAATTCTGTGCCTACCCTCCACTACCCTTTGCAACCACCAGGGGGAGTCATGTTTACTCTAAAAAAATTTTTTGCTTTAACAAACATTTAACTGCTTTTCAAATTTTAAGTAAAATTTGAGTAAGAGATTAAAAATTGAATGACTGACCATATGATCAAAATTCATTTTTCTGGCAATTTTTGGTTTAAAATCAACATTCACTTAACATTGAGCTCAATTTAAATCCTAATCTGAGGATAAGGGTGATGGCATAGAGGCCTTCCAAGCCAGGGGCGTTTATGTTCACTTGAGAAAACTCCATTCAGATTCCAGTCTCTGATTTGATGACTTCAGACTAGACTTGGTTACATTAGAAAAGAATTGCATCTTGTCTTTGACTGAATTACTAATGACTTGTCTTGATTTTCTGATTCAAGTTGAATTTTTAATACTTATTATCATTAATGTTTAAGGGGTCATTAGGACCTGTTGATGATTTCAAATTTAAACCATGGGTCTTGGTTATAAGCATTCAATACCTACTTGTAACAGGCTGGCCACCAATTACAAAGAACATATATTATTTTTTTACATGTAATGTTTAATTGATACACATAAAAACAGATTTTTTTTTTCAGTTCTTCCTTTTGCAATCAGGGATGTCTGTCTCACTTTATTGACCTCTTGGACAAATTAAAAATAATAACTTAGAGTTAACTTCAGTCTATATGATTTCAATAATTCTGCACAGAAATATGAGTTGGTGAAATAACTGACACATTATGATACACCTTTCCCATAACTGAAAGGTTTTTGAGGAATGTTGAAAGTTGAGCATATTTTTGGGAATTTAACTTGAGGTTTAAGAGGTTCTTTGAGTGGACAAATCAACAGATGAGAGAGAAGAACACAACATTATAATTAGTTTAATTATAATCAGTTTAGTTGGAAATAACCTGTCAACTTAAGACCAAAGTACTGTGTGTAGAAAGATGACGATACAAAAAATTCTTAATACATTTTTAAATTAATTACCAGAGGAGCTGTGCAGAATATTTGGAAATGAATCTAAACCTGCTTTAATTTGAGCGTCTCTGTGATGTGTTGATATTTCAGGCTGATATGAGCAGTGAGCGAGCGATCAGGAGAGATGAAGGAGAAAGGCTGGCCAGAGTGAGTCGGCTTCACACCAAACTGTACTAACACGACTGATGTGGTTGAGTTTCGTTACTTACTGCTGTCCGTTCCTCTTCATCCCTGCAGGAGTATTCGGTTCCTTTCATGGAGACTAGCGCAAAGACGGGAGTCAACGTAGAGCTTGCCTTCACAGCTGTAGCCAAGTATGACACCGTTTATTACACAATAATAACCTAATGCTGACAGAGTATCTGTTTATTACAGTGCATTGCTGTGAAAAAGTATTTGACCATACATGTTTTTTCTACTGTCGCTCTTCATATATTGAGCATTTCAGAACACCAAAATGTCTTTAACATCAGGCAAAGAAAAACTGAGTCAATCTAAAATGCATTTTTGAGATTCAGTGAAAGACCAAATCCAAACTAAGCTGCCGTTCTAAGCAAAGGGGATTGCTTTCTAAACATAGGAACCAGCTGGGATTGTTTTTTTTATTTATTTATTTTTTTTGTGGTTCTTTCTGGGATGTCTTTTTTTTTTTTTTTTTCGTCACTCCCAGTGTTCCATACGCTATCCAGTTTTTAGATCTTTAACTTAGTTTTATTTTTGAGCCTTTGGATAAAGTGTTTTTTGTGTTTATTCCTGGGGTAAGTAGTCAATTTTCCCTCAGCTGCACTGCCTTTCTGTTTTTTTCTCTTAAATGTTCTTACATTTTATGCATCCCCCTTCCACATTGGTTACCTGCTTTGTTTTTGTGTTTCCAATTTTGTTGTTTTCTATTACATCTTCTGTGCAGGTTTACTCCTTAATGCCTTCATCTTTTTGGCATTCAGCTGCTTTTTTTGTTGTTTTGCACCTGTGAAGATGGACATTGAATCATCTCCACCATATCTTTATACAGCTGCACTAGTTTTAATCTATGGACAACCTGCTTAAGGTGTGACTTTAACTAGGCCACTTCAAATTCTTCTTTTTTTACATGCAAAGCCAGGATAGTAATTAGCTCCTTAATTAGACTAAGATATTTTCTCAGAAAGTTTTTTTTTTTATCCAATCAGGTTTTTAAGCAAACTGCTTGTCATGAATTATGCATCTGGTCATTTTGACAAATAATCTAACAACAAATTAAACAAACAAACAAGGCGAATTAAGATAAAAGGAACCTTTCATAGAACAGAAGAAGCAAATGGTTTGAATCATTTATTAATCTGATTTTTTTGAGCAAAGGCTGCCTTTGATTAAAGCCTTGGAATTTGTTCTTAGCTTTTACTCCGGAAGCACTCAGTTAGCACAAGATGACGGACAAGAAAATAAATAAATTTTCTCTCAAGACCACTTAGTGCTTTTCACCTTATAGAGCTATATACATTTTTACATTTGTTGTTGGACAAACAGGCACAGAGTGAAGTGATGTAAGAACTATTGTGGCATCAAAGTTTCTGTGGTATTTTAAATTGCCTCGAATTGAACTTGCCCCAAATTTCAGTTTCCAGACTCAAAGTTACAAAGATTTTCAACCTTGTTTGTTTGATTTTGCAAAATCTGTTGCACATGAAAATATGTCATATCTTACATAATTTTTTTAACAATGTTTTAGTTTTGGGAGAGGAATGCTTTTTTGAACTATAATTCTCAGATGGGAAATCCCTTTAATAGGTTGCCTTTTTTTAATCCTGTTATAACTTCTTTCCAGTGCTATGATGGTTTTATGCAGCTTGCTGTTTTCCATTTTTATGCTTTAACTTTTTGAACTGAAGTCAGTTTATATCTTGAAACTTCTGCTGTATTTCTCAGATCCTGGAGAACCATTTCTGGAATAACTATCTAACAATGAGTGCATGTTGCTTTTAACAGTGTTTAGGTTTCTTAGCTGTAACTGAGACATTTCATTTGTCATTTTTATAGCAGTTCCCCATTTCTGTCCTTTAGGGAACTGAAGCATCGCGCTGCCCGGCATCCCAATGAATCCAAGTTCCAAATTCATGAATATATTGAGTCACAGAAGGAGAAGTCCGGCTGCTGCAGTTACTTCTGAATCTTCCGTCCAAAAACTGTCAGTCGACGACACGTAGAAAGAAGAGTGGGTGGAACTGAGCGATGCTGCCAAAACTTCACGCTGCCATTCATGGGGAATAAATCCCTACAATTACATCCGTTAGAAGAGTCTCGGAGAAAGGAACCAGGTATTAACTCAGATGACTCAAGGTTTAGTTCTGAGAAAGAGATTTTTTCAAACTCTTAAGACTTTATCAGAAACAGGATTTTTGATGTAAAAAACTGCTGTTTTTAATTATTGAAACACTGCCTTAAAATGATCTGTACTCAACTGCGGGGTGAGAGTGTGGGCACGACTTTAAAAGCCCCTTTCTAAAGGTTAAAGATAACTTTTCCAAATTAAAAAAATGACGCAGAGTGCTGAGCAAAAGATCCTCTATACCCAAGACATGAGTGCACATTTGTATGGAACCTTGACTGGGCCAGCTGAGTAGTAATCATTTCATACTGTATTTATCTATATAGCACTTCTAAACAAAGTGCAGTACAGGCAGGTAAAGCAGACAATAAAATTGTATTTTGGCTTAGAGTAATGAGGTCAAAGTTCAAAGCATTGCATCAGTTTAAGTACCTTTTAAAGACTAAAGAAACTGCACATATTTTTCCCTTGTATTACTTACTGTTCAATCCATCACATCAAATTCCAATAAAATGAAATTTGCTTCTATAGATAAAAAAAAAATGCTATTTAAAGCAGTATTTTACATTTTTCCTGATATAGTATTACAGCATGTCACAATGATCTCTATTTATTCACTGCATTGCTGATAGGCCGTTGGTAGTAACCGGTGCTTTGAGGTCACCACCTGCCATATTGGTACTCCCTAGTTAGACCGGTTAACAAAACGTTCACTACAGCATCAAACAACAATGATGTTCTCATTTTCAGGTGAGCGTAAGACTTTTAATACAAAGAAAGTCATTACTTTTACACATATACTGTTTTATAGCATCTGTAAATTACTGTAATTTATGGTAAAAAGAGGCACATCACATTACATATTCAGTATGAAGTCCATGAAATCTATAAATCATGTAATATAACATATTATACAAATCCATCACAACAAAATTAGTGTGTTAATGGAACATAATAATACTGTAGTCAGATATTAAGTTTTTAACACACCAACGTGCTCACATACAGTAGACAATCAAGATGTGACAAAAGTGGCTAAATTGATGACGTAAATGATATATATATATATATATATATTGATTTGTGAAGGACAGAGCAATAACGACAATCAGGCACAGGTGTAGTTTCAAAAAACTGGGTTTTCTGAAGGAAAAGAAGAAAAAGAAATAACCAATGGGTCATTATTTATAACTGAAACTAATATGTTTGCAGGTGTTTAATGAATTTAGCCTTAATCAGTAAAAAGATAAAAACAGTATTTTTCATTGCAATCACTGAGTCTGGGAACGGCCATTTTTGCCCAAATATAGTAACACCTCAGTCTTGACACCTTCCGGTAGTGATGTCACAGCGCAGTAAGCCGAAGGCCATTCTCCCCGAGAGAAGCAAAATCAATGGGAACTACTAAACACATCTGCAATCAACAATTATTTAAGATTTCGAGAGGACTTCACCATTGAAGTTTGCGAGAGCTACAGTTAAACTGACAATGCCCGCATGCATGGCAGTTGGATGTTGTAATACATCGGGTAAAAGTGGAAAATAATTAGCTATTTCACCTTTCCAACTAATGATCCTCCACAAGTTCATCCTTAGATTGCCAACTTGAAGAGGGACGATTTGCCATCCAACTTCTGGCCAGAGAAACATCTCATTATTCGGTTAATTGTTAATTATTCAGCCTCTGCTTCGCATAGTGCAGGGGTCGTCGCCATCATGGATAAAAGCACGTTGTGACAAACACCAGATACAGCGTTGGGGCTTGATCAACAGCCGATACCACACCGTAACATCAGGCCGGTAGGTAGTAGTAGTGCTCTTTGACAAACATGGATGTCTCTTGTGAAGCGCATTCAAATAAAATTACTCTTAATTAAAAACACTGATTTATTGAACAGTATGTAATAATTTCATACTTAAACTATTTTTCAGAAGTTTGTATTCTGAAAATGACTCAACTTTTCCTTTAAATACCTCCAAAAAGAAAAAAAAAATGTAACAAGTGCAAAATGGATCCAGAAAAGAGGTCAAAGGAACAAAAAATAAAAATTACCAGTAACGGCACTAACTCAAGCAAATTGACCTACCTTATTGAAACAAAGAGAAACTGAAATAGTGGCTTATCAGTCCACAAAAGAAACATGTGGGGCAAAACATACACAAACTTAACTAAACGAAATGAAGCAAAACCCCATTTCCCCCCATAGAACTGATTTGGTACAGTCCAAATCAGCCCAGCACATTGGCCACCTGCTACTGCTGCTAAGCGAAGGCACTGGAGCAACTGAAACAGTATGAATTCAAGAGTATGAATTCAACTTATTCATAACAGAACAGAGTAAACCAGAATGTGCATACTAATTTTGACATACCGTGCAAAGGTGATAAATAAATTCCTAATAATGAACCCCTATATAAATGAAACCCTATATTAAAAAGAAACTAAATGTTTCAACAACTGTGTGGCTGAACACGCATCCATCACAGATTACATTGTTTTGGAATATCAATGCAATGTTCATAAGCTGTATGCAACGCAATTTCGTTCTGTATGCACTCTGTGCATACAAAATGACAAATAAAGAAGTCTAATAATATCTAATACATTACATTACATTACTGGCATTTTTATGGCTGTTAAAGTGGGGAGTACCAAGATGGCGACAGGTGACTTCAGAATTTTCGGTCTATCAGCAATCCAGTGAGTAGAGATCAGTGGTGTTACATCGACTCTAAGTCCAGCATTAGACATACTTGTTGTGTTGGGAGGATATAGAGTAACAGCAGCTTCTGAGGATTATCCTCTTAAATACAAACCTTACTGTAACACAGGGATGTTTAAGTCTAACTCCCAGTTTTTCAAACAATTTTATTCAAAAGCCATGACAGCAAATGAAAGCCAGGTTTTACATTCTTGCAAATGAGTATGACCACGGATCAGAAATGTGGAATATAACTAGTTTACAGGTGTTTTCTTTATAATGGTTGTCTATTTGGATATTTTCTGTAGTGTATTTCTGTTGTTATAAACGCTGCTCGTTATATTGCAAAACATTGCCAGTGTGACTGTTTTTGCTTACTTTATGTTGTTTTACATGTGTTTGAAAATGCAATTACATGAAGAGCTAAGACACACAAGCTTATTCATGTTGATTTAGGACGTAAAGAATTTAAAATTTAAGACGGGAATAGATTAAATTTGACATAAATATATGCAAAACTTTTTTATTTTTTTTTTAAGATAGATTTTTCCTCCTTTAAGACCTTTTGCAAGCTACAAAACTACAAAAATATTGATAACAATGAAGTTGTCTATTGTCAAATTTTCATATCTATATTTCATATAGATCCATACCCTTTTCTTAAAATCAATTAAAGACTTCTTGGGTTTTTTTCAAAGCTGCAAAGCCATTTAAATCAGGGAGCTGAGGAAGTTTCTCAGAACATAACAGGGACGCTTCTGTTCTTCTGCTCCTTCTAGTCAGGAAAGAAATAGAAGACGTTATGCATCAGAAGGCTCTTTACACGGATCACCTATTAGAGCTGAGTGTCTTTTTCTGAGCCCTTCTGTACTACAAGTTCAGGGAACTTACTTTTAAATGAAGCTCTTTGGACAGACTGACACCATCATCATCATCAAATAAACTCAAAGCACATGTATTTTACTTTCAATGCTAAGCCTAAGGTTAGGTCCGTTTGCATGTAGGCTTGATTGCATGTTCCCTAGCTGTGAGATTTCTCAGAAAAACATTTGACCCATATAAAGATAGTTAATGGACGTGTCTATAACATTTCAAGTCAAAGCTCAGGGTTAAGTTGTGTTTTAAAAAAGTATCACTTTATTAAGAGTTATAGATTGTCAGAACCTTTGCTTACTTATGTGATGATAAAGCAGTGATATAAAACTGCCTAACCAACGTTTGTATGTGGTATCAATTTTGTTTCTGGGTTTTCCTGCATCCCTAGACCGAAAATGAAAAAAAAAGGTTTTTATTGTTAGTCGGGGAGAAAAATAAAATGAGGATTTGTGACATAATTTTTCCTAAAATAAAATGATCCAGTTGTTAGCTATATTGTCTTGCAGAAAGCCAGGTCCTGTGCTTACATTCCACTCTGGGGTCTTTCTGCATGGAATGTAGGAGTGGGATGGTTCTCCAAGGCTCTCCATCTTCAAGAGACAGTTTAAAGAATTACTTTTAGGATAACAAGCTTCTTAAGCTGCCATTAGAAGATTATACACCAAACAGAGTATACACCAAGCACAAAGGAAAATGGTTAATTAGCTCAAAAACAGAAGAAGTAAGTAATAGTGATGAAACCATGTTTTGAGAGATCTACAAGTACTGGTTTCCCTATCTTAGCGTATCTCTGCAACTGCATTGATTTGCTGGTTTGAAAAATATTTATTCTTTTTTTTTTTTTTTTCTTCTCTAGTACTTACCTTTTATTCTGCTTCTCCTTTAAAGTTGTAGGGAAATCATATTTAAATGTCCGATCATTCTGGCTTAAACATGTATATAAATGTACTCTTTATCTGACTAAATTGTCCCAAAATTTAGAAAATTACTTTTTTTTTAAAATATTCCTGTCTTAAAATCTGGTTGTTGTTTTTTTTCGTTATCCTATGCCGGACAGTTAGTTATGTCAGCCTGTACACCTAAATTGGGCCAATCATATATCTACGTATATCTATGTCACAGCTAATATACGCAATGGTTTTAATAAGAAATAAGAATAATTTCCTTTCGCATTGAGTTCTGTCCCAGCGTTCACGGGGATGGACGTCTGTGTCTTCGGCAGGCGTAGAGCTAAAACAACTGGCAGCGTTGCGAGGCAAGGGCTCAAACATGTACGGCTGTAAGCCTTCTACACCAAACGAAGCTTCTGCCGCCCTGGCGTCCTCTTCAACAACATCTCCATCCCCGCTTTCCTCCTCTAAATAAAGCATGTACTGTATGACGGAGGAGACTCATCCACGACCTCCGACACAAAACTCTCCTCCTCTTGCATGTTTCCGCTGTCCATAGCGTTCCCTGACAGTGTCCTTTCTAAGTAACCAATTTAGTGCCACTTTGTCACAATGTAATTTCCATTGGGAACCTACTAGCAAGATGCTTCCGACAAACCTGCCACAATCAAACTTGCTTGCAAACCTTCCGCCACAACAATCCTGCCTTCTTTATAAACGACCAATCATACCGTATTCACTTTATTCACTCGTGTAAAGTTGTGCACCACTCGGGAGAATTTAGAAATGCAACAGTTGGAACAGCGGTTTCCCTATGACTTTAAGTTGACACTTTACCAACCGTCAAACCTCTGAACAGTGACAGGACTATTTGAAGGAAGCTGGCAATAAAAAAAGTTTACCTTAAAGGTAAAGTGGAGGATTTTAACAATATTTGAAAAGACCTGCCCGCTCCACTTAAAAAAAAATAAACATGCACATGCACGCGATAGGTTTTCCCTATCGCGTGCAAAAGCAAGAGCCATTTCTTTTCATGCACACTCTGTTTTAAGTTTGGATCACTCAAACACGCTAACTTTCCAAAAGAAGATTTGACATTTTTCCACTATGACAGACTCGCCACAGGTAATTTAAAATGGGAATGAGGACGTAGGACGGCCTTATGTAAACCTATCACCAGAAGGACTGACAGTTAGGAGGACCACTTATTTTGATGATCCACCCGGAAAAAGAACATCCTCCACTATAACTTTAAGTGAGAGACTCAGTAACTTAATCTATAAATCAAAACCTAGTTTATTATCTCTGACAATTAGCTTTTGCAAAATTAATTCATTGAATAAAATTTGTATTTTTTTTTACAAAGTCAGAACTTTTTTAGCCTAAAACATATTGATGCTACATATAAATGATGCTACAGCTACATGGTGTCCACTAGTTTATCTGTGAGCTTTGATAGAACTACTTACTGCTACATAAGGAGCCTTTCTCTTAAAAGTCATGACATTTGCAAACAAACCAATGAGCTGAAAGGAGGTAAACTGCAGCACAGGGATCTTTGCATCGACCTCGTATTTCAATGCGCTGATTAGTGAAGCCTTAAAGAAACTCTGATGTCAAAACAACACCTCTGTGATGCTGCATTACAACGTTTATGCAATTTTTTCTCCTCCAATGATATGCAAATTGTTTTGCTCATTATTCCAAATTGGTCAATGGATGTCTGATTGTTTTTGGCTTTGTGGATCCTTTAGATCTGATGTGACGTATGCAGCTTTCTTACTTGTGTTTTTGCTCCTGCAGCCTGGAGGTGTGTTTGATGTGCTGTTTGCTGCCTAAAAGAATAAATTATTTTTATCCAATCTTCTGTCATCCCATTTGTCTTTTAAGCTCTGTTGTTCAATGATTGCCACAAAGGCATGCCTAAAAAAAGAATTCTGAAGCAGGATACAGCTATTAAACTATAAAGCTGCATTGATGGCAGGCGTAGGCAGAGGTCTGAGCAGGAATGAAGAAAGAACAAAACTTCCTGTTTATCAGCTGAGCCTTCAAGATAAAAGTTTTGACTGTGATAACATGAGAGGTAATGACAAACATAGGTTTATGATGTGCAGACAAAGTCAATCTTCTTTGTTAAATTGTTGTTTTGTTTATTTTATTGCATGAACAAATACCATTTGTAGATGGACTAAAAAGTGGATCCTTATGGGTTCAAGAATGGCTCTCATTGATTAGATTTATTGGCTCTGATTAGAGTGAGGACAAAAGTTGGGATTTCGATTGAACCAAAAAGGGTTAGAGACCAGTTTAAATGAATAGAATGGGATAGAATAGAATAGAATAGAAAATTTAAGTGTATAGAAATAACAGAATTAGTGACAGAGTAAAAAAAATATATATAAATAAATACTGCACTGTACAGTACTGTACAATATAAATACAGTGCATCTGCAGAATAAATGATCTATATACAGTTGTGAACATTTTTGCAGTACTGGATATGTAGAAAAATAGCAGCAAACACCACTGAATTTTCTTTTGGTTATATTTTATTTGTATTTTTTTTTTACAGTTTTATATCCACAACAAATACAAACTGAAGGTGTTGCATGTTTTAATTCAGCAGGATTGAGATAGAATAGCAGCTTTAGGGATGATTGCAGTTCTATGGACAGATCTATAAAAAGCCTGACCTCCTCATTCTGACTGATACCGATATTCCATATAACAGCTGTTATAGGATTGCAATAAACCTTTAATCAATCTTATTTTATTGAGAATGATAACAATACCTGTATAACAATAAAAACATGTTTTAAACGCACAAGATAACACTTAACTTTTAAATGAAAATAGCAATAATTAAATGTATAATGAAAAAGCATCGACATTTGCTGATTTTCAGACCTTTACAGAAATAAATGTGATCAGCTATTAAGATCTAAGTATTGGCTGATTACTGATCTCCTAAAATGAATAAAATTAAGGCGGATAAATCAGTGCACCTCTTTTTTTTCTTTTTCTAATACATTACGGTTCTCCACAGTCACAATTAACTCTTGTTAATACATCTAACTTCATATATCAAAAGGTGATTCCATGTTTTTTGTTCCATGCTTTTCATGCAAATATACCCCCAGGTAAATTTGTTACATTTACTTTAACTACACAGGTATCCAAAAATTTGTATCTTATCTAATCTGCATTAGTTTCATGTAGAAAATTAATAGAAAAAAACAAAAGAGTTATTTTTGTCTTGGTCATTACTTATGGAGGACCAGCTCTGCCATTTAAAAAGAATGTATACATAAATAACTAAATGTTCAATAAATAAATAAATAAGCATACAAGTATTTGCCCCCAAAAATATAATAATCAAATAAATATAGGTAGAAATTAGATTAAACAGAGAGACATAAATGTATCTCTTTTAATTAGCTTCTTTATTTATTCCCCTTTTATAATAATTACCATTATTTATTTTCTGCTAAAATCAACTTTATTAATTACTTATTTAAGTATTTATTTATTTGCATGTTATATTTTTGTCTGTTTATGTTTGTCTAATTTAATTTCTACCTACATTTTTTTGTTTATTGTATTTTTAGGGGCAATTAATTGTATGCTTATTCATTTTTTGAGCATTTATTTATTTATGTATTTATTTTTAAATATGGTAGAGCTTGTCCTCCATAGTTACTTACAGAAAACAAAAACCTTGTGTTATAATCACTTTTAAAATATATTAAACACTTAATGTGTTACTGCTCAATAAAATCAATAATATTTCTAATGGCAGTGGGGTTGCTGGATTATGTTGCAAATAAATGTTTCCCATTAAATCAGCGCTGAGTCTAAAAGCATATTTGGATGATTAGACGTAAACATTAGATCTTTTTTAAATGATGTGAAGCCTTTCTAAATAGTTGCAAATCTCAGAGGAATGTTCGCTGAATGTCCGTCCAAAAATAAAATTATAGCTCAAAAATTTCAAGCAATGTATCAGCAGTGCTCATAAATCACATTAGCAAAAAGGCTTAGAGAGCTGAATGGATTCAAATTAAGGCGCTTCATTTGTTTTGTGTTGTTTGTTTATTTTTAAGGTTTCATTTTTACCAGCCTAATGACTGATAAAACTGGTTTTATAAGATGAATAAAATATGACACAAGATAATCTGCCTGCTATTGAGTTCTAATCTACAGTAATATTAGTTTGCAAATTTAAAGACAATTTAAAGGGTATCTTTAGAGTCCATCAGTTTTATTAAAATGATTGACTTTAAATCTGCCCTAAATTTAAAGTTAAAAGTTAAAAGGGAGTTTTTCCTCTCCACTGTCGCTACAAGCATGCTTAGTGTGAGGGATTGGCTTAGAGTCAATGAATCGCTGCAATCAACTGGTTTTCCTTCAATAGAAAACTTTAAATCAATTTGACTTTGATGACACATGCAAAAATAAAGAAATCGACAAAGGCCACAGATGGACGATGGACTAAGTAATTTACGCAGGCAAAAGAAAAAATTATCTTACAGTTTCTTACTTCAGTTTTCTCAGTTTATTTCTGCTCAGGCAAGCAAAAAAAGGACAAACATTTCCTCCATGCTTCTCTTGCGCTGGTAAAAAACCATACGCCCACCCATATGCATGCTGGTCCTACCATTGACAGCCTATTTATAAAAATAATTCACCCTAATGAATCATAACTAACCAGAAACAAAGGAAAATGACTAAATAAGAAAACAAAAGTCATTATCTCATAACAGATATCAATAAAGTAGAATAAACTTAGCTAGATTATCCACAAAAACAAAACAACTTTGTTAATTATTAACAAAAAACAATTGGCTCCTACACTGTGTGATCTTGTTAAATTGTAAAGTGCCTTGAGATGACATGTGTTGTGAATTGGCGCTATATAAATAAACTGAATTAAACCTGAATTGAAAACATCTAATTTGTTATCATCTGCTGCTGCCACATTGTTTTCATAGTTTTCCCGTAAACATATTTGTGTCCAATTTTTATTGTATTTCTCATTTAAATACCACAATTGAGAATATTAGCATTTGCAAAATTAGCAGAACATTGATCTAGATTTGCACACAAATCTAATTGAAATGCAACTGGTGATCTGTGGATCACAATTTGAAGGGAATGCAATGAATAAAACTCAATCTAAGAAAGAGAAATGGGGAAAAAAATAATTGAAAACAAAAAACTGTCAAATACGAAAGAGGATTAGGGCCACTGAAAAAATAACAAAAGTTAACTGATTTTAAAATTTTATTTCAGTTTAATATGGGAAAAAAGTCGAGATTCTGAGAAAAAAGTCAGAATTCTGAGAAAAAAGTCACTTTTTTTCCATATTAAACTGAAATTTAAAAATCAGTTAACTCTTTTTTTTTCCCAGTGGCCCTAATCCTCTTACGTAGTCAAAAGAAGTAAAAACTGGGGAAAAAAATAACAAAAATTATGAATAAATCTAATATAAATAGCAAAGGTATACTCAAAACCTTTATTTTATTAAGAAGTTTTGAAAGTTTTATTTTTGGATTATTCTCTTGTAGGTGTTTTATTTTGTAAACATCACGCCCCTTTTTGAATAGTTGAGCCTGACTGGGCTGGTCCAGTCCAGGGTTGGAGGTGGGACGGAGCAGAGAGGCGTGGATCTCAGAGGCAGTCTATAAAGAAGAAAGCTCTACTTTTTGAACTGTCGAAACTTTCCCCCGCGCGGAAGTATAACCTTTGTGAAGCCTCTGTGCAACAGGTGTCACTTTTTCTCTATGGTCGTTGTGTGAAACGCTCAACTTGTTCGGCTTGTGGGTGAAAGAAAAAAAGCAAAAAATGTCTCAACTTAGACCCAGGCTTTGCGTGTTGGAGAAAGGGACCAAAGGTTACGGCTTCCACCTGCACGGAGAGAAGGGCAAAACCGGGCAGTTCATCCGGCTCGTTGAGGATGACTCCCCCGCCTCCAGAGCCGGGCTGCTCGCCAAAGACCGGCTGATGTTCGTGAACGGGGAGAACGTGGAGGGAGAAAGCCATCAGCAGGTGGTGGCGAGGATACGAGCCACGGTCGGGGCTCTGGAGCTTATCGTGGTGGACCCCGAAACGGCAGAGCTGCTGAGCAAACACAGCCTGCAGTGCCGGAAAGAGTACGTGACGGAGGGGATTCCCCTGCCCGGAGGGGACAGCGACTCGGAGCGCGAGGACAGACGGAGCAACGGCAGCCCTGTCCCGCGCGAGAACGGGGACAGGTCCTCTGTGAGGTCAGGGAGCGTCAGCTCCAGCACCAAGGTACACTCCATTATAGATTATATTATTCTATATTATATCATGAGGCGGTTCTAAACCATATTTATCAGGGGGACTTTTGATTGACGTTCTTGACAGGGGCCAACAGGGGCCCCTATAGAACTGGTCCCTGTATGGGTCCCTGCTCTGAAAGCATACACTCCAGAAATTTAAATCTAAGTCCATTTTTCTTTCTAAGTCAATTTCTCTCTGAAAAAAAACACAAAAGAAATAAATAAAAAAAAAAAAAAAAAAAAAACATTGTCTAATATTTAAGGTTAATCACTAAGCCAAGGTTGCAGACCTCTGGTCTAATAGATAAAAACAATATACAGCTGGAACTCAAAGCTGCCTGAATTCTAACTGTCAAAGTGAATTGTTAAGATGAAATATTTAATTGGTCAATAAGCTCAAGTCATCATAAGAAATTTATTTAGTACCACACTGCTAAAACTGATCCAAATAAGTAAAGACGCTCTTAAGATAAGTGTATTTTCCTTCATTTGAGCAGATAAATAAGATGATCTACCAAAGGAATGAGTATTTTCTTTTCATACAAGATAAGAAGATATGATGCACTGGAAAGAAGATGTTTATTTTTCCGATTTAAAATATAAATAATCTTATTCCATTGGCAAATTGTATTATCCTCCTGCTCAAATCAAGGGAAATTCATTTTTATAAAACAAAACAAAAAAAATTTTCTTAGACTTCAATATTTTCACTTTATTTTCTTATTAAAGGGACCATAACAGGGCGCCAGGATCTGTTCTACAGGGGCGTTGGTCCCTGTCTAGAGCCGCCCATGAATTATTATATTATTATTATTCATGTTACCATACAAGTGGAGTTAGTTTAAGATTTAGCATGAATATAAAGATAAACAATACGTATTTTATTTGCAATCCAAGTCCTGTTTCAACAAAGAAACTGAATGTTAGCACTGTAACTATACAGTCATATGTTTACATTACTGTTTTTATCACTGCTGCTTAAAGGCTGCTCTATAAAAAATAAAATAGTCAAGAGAGCTGTTCGAAATGAAAAAAAAAAAGTTATTTTTCTTTTGGTTTACATTTGTGTATACAAAATGACAAAATAAAATCTGTCTAAGTCTAACTTTCAGCTTTAATAATATAATATTATTAATAAAATAAATAGTACAAGCAAGATATAAGCTACAAAGTCTTGTTTTATTAGTATTATCAGTTCAGTCATTGCTAAAACCAAGACCTTAGCAGCTAAAAATCACCTTTACTGCTTGATTTGAAAGGTGCTACAGATCAAACACAATTTGATTTACAATCAGAAACCATGAACTATTAGCCCAATGCTAGGCTTGAACCACATCAGCAATCTAGTTATCAAAGCAAGTGTTGCTTCCAAAACAATCTGGGAAAGGTTATGGGGTCAAGTGGTGCCTAAATGCTGCTAAAATACCCCCAAAAAAGAAACAGGATAGCTAAGAAATTTAAATAAAGCTGAAACTATCTTGTGAAAGCATGAAGTCATGGAGAGTACCTACAGTAGTGCTCTTCCTTTTTTACCCCTTTGTGGTGACATATGTGCTATATAAATATTTAAAGCAACCAGTCACAGGTCTGGTGATGGCCATCTGAACAGATACCTAGTTTAGCAGTCACCTCAGGAGCAGCTTACAGAGAAGATAAGCTGCTGACAGAAACATGCCGCTCAGCAGAGTCTTTGTTTTCCAGATATGTGTAATTCCCTTTGCTTCCTGTCTAGGATTCCCTGTCAGGTTTAGCCTGTCAGACGAGATCATCTGTCACACCTGAAGCTCTCATCAGCATCTGCTCCCTTTAGTCATCTGAATGTTGTTGTTTTTTTTAGAGAACTGAGCTGAGGTCATTTAGGAGGAAACAGGTGCAGCTGATTCACATGCCTTAAGCTTGATCAAGATTTTTTTTCCCATTAAGGTTCCTGGAGGTTAAATGAGAAAAAAATCTAAAAAAACGACATTTCTACTTTTATAAGTTAAATCTTCTTTTACTCTGGTGTCTTTCAGATTCTTTCTCTTTGAAGTTAAAGCTTTTTTGTAGTTGGTGGTTGAATCATTTTATAGGGGTTAATCTTTGAGAGGGTTAACAACATGGCAGGGATTTGTTGGCTGTGAAACGTCTTCCGTCGGTACAAAGTCTGGGCCCCAGGTTTAAAGGTTACGCAACAGAACTGCAGAATAGATTCATTGTGGAGAAGCTTTAATTAGAAACTGTTTTTATTTAGAAAACAATGAGATGTTTTAAGCAGACCAATCATTTAACTAGAATAATTTGGCTGCCAGCTGGAAATATAGGAAATAACAGCAGATGATGTGCAGCAAAGTTTTTATTTCCTATAAATGACAGAAACATCTACAACTTGGAGGATTTTTCTGAGTGCACAAAGTTTTAATACTAATTGAGCATTCAACATTTTTGTTTTTAAATGCTGCTGTAACCCGCTGCAGCACTTAATGGGACTGATTTGGTTATGTAATAACTGTTAGAGGTGCAAATAATTAATGCCAATAAGACACTTGTTACCCTGGCTGTCACTAAGCTTCATTAAATTTACTCTTCAAACATTAATCTGGTTGTTTTTTTCTTTGTAGAGGATTGAACTTGGAATTCCAACATGCAAGAAGAAGTTTTTTTATCTAGCTCTAAGGCACTTCCCAATTCATTGATTTAATCTAAAAAAAGATTAAAAATAGATACTCGTAGAAGCTTACCTGCCTAAATAGAATTTTTGTTAGCTTAAAATAAATGTTAAAAAAACTATAAATTTTTTTAAATGCATTGAATTTCTTCTATGATATAGGGCTTAACCCCCACCACCCAAAAAAAAAAGTCATTGTACATTGATTTTGGAAATAATGTATAAACCAAAAGATGAATATGCAAATCTATAGGCCTGCATCCAAAATATCTCTTATAAGGGAGCTGATAGAAATGCTCTGCTTCTTCCTAAAAATAAAAAGTAACCCACTGGTTAATAATAATGAGTCTGATGTGGGGCTGTTAATCGTGATTAAACTATCATTGAAATAATTGTAGACTAGTTTAGTAATCGATTAATTGTTACCTTGAGTATATAGACTGTAAAACATGCCTTTAGCTGACAGAACAACCCACTCCGAGCAGAAATTGTATCAAAAATGTAAAAAATATATAAACATTTTCCATTTAAGATAAAAAACTACTTTTTATCGTCTAAAATGCTCCATCCAGATTTGCTCAAGTGGAAAACTTTTATTTTCACCTGTTTCATCTACATAAAAAAATCTTCTTTAAAGAATCTTTTGCTATCCAATTGAGAATCGATGAACCTAAAAAAATAATTGACAGATTAATCAATTTGCAAAAAATTATTGGTTGCAACCCTTCTAAGACGTTCTCATACCTGTTGTTGTAATGTTCTCTGTTCCACTTTGATATACGGTAGCCTTTTCTAACATTCATACAACAAAATTACTCATACAAGTATTTTATTCCAGCTGATATCGTATCTGTTCAACATCAGTAACGTCTGATATTTATAGTTGCAGGGTCGATGTTATATCGTACATGAAAACGTTGTACCAGGACATTCCTCTATTAAGTGGTCAGAGATGCCAGTTGTGAAAGTGGCACTTTTTATAGCCAGCATACTCCAATTAACAATGAATACATTACCAAATTAGTGGACAATTCAATTAATAATTGATTAATTGCCATTATTAGTTCTGCCCTAGTCTATATATATTGATTGCAATTAACTCGCTGTCTGTACTTTCACTTTTTTTATTCTAACTTTGCAGCTTTTTAGCCGTCGTTTTCAAATGTTGCACTGTAGGATGTGGCCAGGTTAGGCCATAAAGGGCAATTAATAGAGCAGAAGGTTTTATGCAAAGCCGCTGAAACATTAAGTTCAAACAGTCCTCTGTTGTCTCATTATTGCAGACATTAATGTTATTATGATGATTGAACCTCTGCATATCGTACAGCTCCCTTAGGCTTCTTTACATTTACATAAATTCCAAAGCTCACATTTAACCATATTTTGATTATATAATCATTATCTGCGGTGTCAGAATACGCCGCTCATTAATGGAAATCACTCTATCAGTTATTATATTTTTTGTGTCAAAAAGTATATTTATTGAAACCTTGTTTCCTTTTACTTATTCTTTCATTTTTTATCAGTCTAATGTTTTGTAGTGATTCAAATGATAGGCTTAAACATCAGCTTTTTTTTATAGCTAATGTATAAACTGGAGTTGCCTTGTTGATTAAAAGCACCATGGTGTTTACCAAACCAATAGATGGACTTAAAAGTGAAACATACTCCTTTTATGAATTTTGCACATTTAAAGACTATTTCAAATGCTTAATGCTGCTTTTTCTGCCCCATCCTTTTCTGCTGAATTTGATTGCACCATTAATTTTGGTTTTCTTGCCAAGTGTGAAGTTTGCTGTGAGGAATGATGTTGAAATTCAGCAGAATCCCTCCCTGATGGGGAACTTGGCGCACTGTGAGTGGGGGTTTGATACGGGTGACTGGAACCAGCCGTAACCCCCACCAGTGGGTTAAACTCGAGTGGGATGACCGACAATGATCTGCAACTATCCCTGCTCGTGCTTTAACAATAGCCCCATTCACATGATAATGGAGTTAGGTGTAACATAAGCAGGGCAGCGAAGCTTTTACTTTTCTTCAGGAAAGAAAAAGTCCTTAGGTTGGTCTTTTTTCGGGTTAAAAACTTTAACAAACTTGGAAGTTTCAGGGAGTTTTTGCTCCACATCCTGACTCCACTGCCACACTGAGAGCTAGCTGTGGGTCACCATAGAGATCCCAAGTGGCAGAAAGAGGCTTTGTCCCAAGTGTTTGCCTGTGGAGAAAGGCTTCTGGGCCAGAAAGAAAAAGATAGAGCACTCTCACGCCTCCGAGAAGAGGCCATGATGACCCTGAAACACATCCACAGCCCCTGCACACTGGGAATGAGACTAGAGTGAACTTGGAAC